TACTCATAGTCTTTTTGTTTGTTTGTTTGTTTCGCTTCCTCTTGCCACTGTCTTATTTAGAACATTCATGCTTAGGCTGTACATTGTCAGATTTCTGTCATTCACATAGGGATACAGTCTGAAGCAGAGGATTGTAGTCTACAGGCAGGCAGTTCAAAAGCACATCTGGACATCTGGTTTTATTTTTCTTAATTTTTTTTCCTAAGAGTTGTTTAATTTTGTCTGCTTAATACTTCTTGTTCTGCAGTACTTCATTTCAGCTTCAAAAGTGAAAAATGATTGGGACTTAACTTGAAGCAACTGTAAAGATTAATTTAAAAAACTTGTGCCCTTGAACTATTTTAAAAGTTTAAATATAGAAAAATTTTAGACAAGTGTTGAACTTAAGGAAGGCAAGTACTTAAGATAGGAAAAATTTTGCAAAAGTGCATTTGTTGACATTGAGATAGAGGAGAAGCTGGAAAGTACTCCTGTTTCACTGACTTTCAGGAGCCCCTTGAAATTCAGATGAGGGGCACTTATTTACACTAAAAGTTGTTAGCTTCCTGTGAAAAAAATGAGAAATTAGATTGTTGAAAGAAAATACAGTTTTAAAACTATTCTTCCAGATGTTGACAATAACTAGGACATTCCCTACCTGCATTTTGAAGTGTCTGAAGAAAGATAGAAAGTGAGCACAATAGCAAGGTTTTTCCAGTGCAGTTTCACAGTATAATCCAATGTGACCCAGATTTGCTGCTGAAATGGCCAGTCCTGCTCTTTGCCCTGCCCTGGCTATGAATTTTCAGCACCTCGCCTGCCATCAGAGAATGATCACGTGAATAAGTGGCAAGTTGGATCCAAAAGAAAACTATTCCTTAAATTCGTATTTGTCCACAATGACTTGACTCGCTTTGCACAAACTGATCATGGCTATTACAGGTGATGAAGTGGGTTCACCCTGGCTGGACACCAGGTGCCCACCAAGCTGCTATGTCACCCCCCTCCTCAGCTGGACAGGGGAGACAAAATAGAACGAAAAGCTCCTGGGTCTGGGTAAGGACAGGGAGATCACTCAGCAGTTACTGTCATGGGCAAAACAGACTCAAATCAGGGAAATTAATTTTATTTATTACCAAACGAATCAGAGTAGGGTGCTGAGAAATAAAAAACAAATCTCAAAACACCTTGCCTCCACCCCTCCCTTCTTCCTGGGCTTGACCTCACTCCTGATTTCTCTACCTCCTCCCCTGAGAGGCGCAGGGGGATGAGGAATGGGAGTTGCGGTCAGTTCATCACACATCTCTGCAGCTCCTTCCTCCTCCCTCTCTTCCCCTGCTTCAGCGTGGGGTCCCTCCCATGGGAGACAGTCCAATGTGGACTCCTCCACTGAGGTCCTTCCCACAGGCTGCAGTTCTTCACAAACTGCTCCAGCATGGGTTCTTTCCATGTGTCCTTTCCATGAGGTGCAGTCCTTCAGGACAGAACGCTCCAAGCACATCCACCTGCTCCACTGTGGACTGCCACAGGCTGCAGGTGGACATCTGCTCCACCATGGACCTCAGGGGACATCCTGCCTCACCGTGGTCCTTACCATGAGGTGCAGAGAAATCTCTGGTGCCTGGAGCCCTTCCTCCCTCTGCTTCTTCACTGACCTTGGTGTCTGCAGGGTTGTTCCTCTCACATATTCTCACTCCTGCTGTTGCACAGCAGTTTTTTTCCCCCCTTCTTAAATATCTTATCCCAGAGGCACTACCACCATCACTGATGGGCTCAGCCTTGGCCAGCAGCGGGTCCGTCCTGGAGCCGCTGGCATTGGCTCTGTCGGATGCGGGGGAACCTTCTGGTGGCTTCTCACAAAAGCCAACCCTGTAGCCCTTCTGCTACCAAAACTTTGTCACACAAACCTGATACAGGTAAGCGTGTACACGGGGACAGCAATCGACAGCCAGATTGAATTAAGTATGTTGTATGTACATTAGGACACCGCTTGTCTCTTCATATTTTTCTTATGATTCTACAAATGAATAGAAATAATTTGGCCTGGTAGGCAGTGTGCCTCAGAGGTACTTTTTTTAACCTGGTAAGGGGCAGGCATTTACTGTTTAAGATTACAGCACTTGCTCTGAATTTAGGTAAGAACTGATGTTCTTATAAGATAGTTTCCCAAGGTCACAAATCGGGTTCATGGCCAAACCAATAATAGTAGGACACCTTTCTTTTCATTCGTGTTTTAATTAGGCTGAATAGTGTTGAAATAGCTCTAGAGTGATGGTGAAGCCATTTGCTTAGAACACGCAAGCCTGAAAACACCAGTCAAAGACTGTTGCTGTGGGGTAGAGGGAGACTGCTCGCTTCACGTAGCGCTTCTGAGATGGTGCTTAATTTCTAGGCTTCTATGTTTTTTAAAAAAATACACATTTTATAGGTTGTGATGAATTTAATAGTGGATAGGTCTGTTAATATATTACAAAGAATAAGGACTTTGCAGTAGAAACTTAAAAAAATATTACAGATAATACATTCTCAGTTATAAATGCATGACATAAAATTGCTTTTGTATAAAAACGGGTAAAACATTGCCCTAAATTAAAATTCTTTGTGGTGAAGTATAGTAAGTGTAACACTTTTACTTACATTTGACCTGGTATTCGTTAATACAGCCTTACCCTACAGAATGCTGAATAATCAAGAGAAAAAGCAAGTTTAGAAGACTTTTTAGTATTAGTTTGTAGATGTTTGTTGTTGTTGTTATTAGTGTGAACACTTTGCTATGAAAATGATGACTTTAGGCTAGTTAGGGTAAGAGTTAATAAATGGTAGTAGGTATGTTGTTCCAAGTGTTAGTCACAAAGACACATGCATATTATTCTGTGTGTGTTTTGTATTGAGAACAATAATATTCTAACTCATCTATAGTTCTCATTTTCTCTTCTAAAATGCTGTTACCAAAACAAGTTATTTATAAACTAAATGAGTAGAATTCCACATGTGGGGTTTTTTTGTTTTACTACCAAAAATGTACTATTTTTTTGGCCTTTCTAAATGTGCATTAGTTCTTCAAGCCATCTGGAATGGATAGAAAATATCTTTATGTATTTTTTCCTATCAAATAATTCTGAACAACTGTTTAATTTTTTTTTTTAACTTAATGTGAGTAAATTGTCATTAAATCTCCTTTCTAAAGTAGAGCATGCAATCTGTTTAAACTGAAGAGTACCATTGTCATAATCTGTGATGTTTTCCAAGTATGCCCTCCATCCGTGACAAAAGGGAAGCCCAAGTTTAGGGACTGGCCGTTGTGTAGCAGCATGAGACCAGTAATTAGAGAGAAAGACTTTTCGACAGTTTGAGAGAAAAAAATGTAAGATACACTTGAGAGTTAAAGAGGCTTTGTTACACTCTCTTTCAGAGTTGCTGAAGTGATTGATGGTATGTACGTAGTTTCATAAGAAATGTCTTTTACTCATGCAGAAAATCTTTCCATTACAAAGTGCTGTTTTGTTTTGAGTACTTCAGAAGATTGAAAGAAATTACAGATTTTTTTTTTAAGTGGATGTTTTATACTGTTTTATATGTGGTTGTTTTCACTGGTTGAAATAGTCACTTGCATTTATGTGATGATACCCTTTCACTCATTGCTAAAGAGAGCGCTCACCTGCATATCCTTCTTATAGAACAGGTGATATTTTTTTTAGCAATAATAATTAAATTGAAAGTCAGAAGTTAATAAATTTATGTGTTGAGAGAAGTAGTAGAAATGGTAAAGATGAAGGGATTGAGCTTCTGATAAGTATTCAGAAGTTCCTACAATATGTAAAACAGGGACAGAAAGTCTTATTTCTTCTTGCTGTCAGAAGACCATTTTGAAAGTAATGGAGAGATAAAAAGTGAAAAGGATGGAAGTCTGTATCCTTTAACTGGGTTAACTTATGAAGGGACTAGTTTAGTTCAACAGTTTGAAAATCCATGTCTAGTAGCAGATAAGGGACAATGACTCAGGCATATCAGCTGGCAGATATCAGAGGGCTGATGGTGTCCAGGAGAGAAGCAGTGACAGACAGTGGGGGGTCTGAAAGGGTGACTGCCCTTGGCCTCAGTCAGTGTGCTCACAGCTAGAAAAGGGCACTGGTCTCAGGAAACTGCAGAAGCTTTGGGAGGAGAAAATCTGAAATAAAAAATGTAAAATGAGAGGGAATAACATGTAGGTTATGAAGCGGTGTAGCTTTTTAACTAAAGCCTAGGGTAATGGTGTTGCCTTTTTACTGTAATGAGTGTGTGTGTATATATACACACACACACACACACAAGAGTTAATTTCTGGTGTCTAAAACCACCTAGTGAAAATTCCCGGAGTAATATTTTTAATAAATTAATTATGAATACTCATACAAACAAATCAAGATGTGATCTGATCCTACATGATTGTTTTTTGACAAAATTAATACAGGGTACACAGTGTATATGTACGTGGCTGATTTACTGTAAGCTTTGCATAAGCATGTGGATCTGTCCTTCTCAACGGACCTGTTTGTTTCTAAGGTTCTAGGTGAAATTCTGCTGTTATTTCTAGTGTAACCCCAGGAGGTTACTTTTTTAGTTATAAAATGAAGATTTTATTTTCACCTGTTCAGCTTCTGGCAAAGTAGAATCTTAAATTCATTTTTCGCTGTCTTCGTGTCATAGCAGCATTACCACTCAGACTTTCTTGAGTTTTCCTAAGTAGTTTTAAGTAGGAAAAACTATTTAAAATAGGCACTTTATTATTACTACTATTAATAGAGTCATTAGTGCTTTTTTGTCAATAAGGCTGGACCTATTATTTTACTCAAGATTTAACAAAACTGTATAGTTTTTATTTACTTTTATAGTCTCTTGCAGAAACAAATGTTTAAGCAATGACTGAGTTTCTTTTGTAGGTGTGTATTAATTGCGATTAAACATTATTTCTTTCAAGCTTGCTAAATTAGAGTGAGATTTATTGGTAACTTCAAGTTTTACTTTTATTTAACAGTGAAAGCAAGTTGAATACATTGGTGCAGAAACTTCATGACTTCTTGGCTCACTCGTCAGAAGAGTCTGAGGACGCACACTCTCCTCCAGCATCGAAAAACAAAACCATAGGTAAAAAGACATTTTGTTTTTATTTTCAAGTTATATATGAATCTGAAGTAAAATAACTGTTATGTCACTACATTGCACTTCACTGGGGCAATTATGCAAAGTCCTAATGTTATTTAAGTGGCAATATCTTAATAAATATACAATAGACCTTTGATACAGTATTTCTTTCAGTTCTGAATCTTTTCTAAACTTGAAAAAAGCTGATCCTACTGGTAATGGACCTTCTATGAAACATGGGATGGCAAACATGCATGTATTTGGAGTATTAGGGGTTTCTTGTTCAGTTTTCCTGAGTATATAAGTGCAGTATCTTGGGTTTTTTTTCTGCTGAAGTAAAGCTTTTACAGTCCTTGTAGTTGTGAAAGAAGTTCTGGAGATTATGCTTTCGTAATTACTTGAAAGAGATATCTACGTATAACCTGGAAACCTTTGAAAACAAAACCTGGAGTCCTACAGTAGGTCAAATTTGGTATTAGGAATTTTTTCTTAACAAGTTAGAAATAGGTAATGAATTTTAAACACTTTGTTTTTATTACAGTCATAAAAAGTGAAAGTATTTAATAACAGTACTGAATAAAATTTGTTTCCAAATTTAACTAAGTTAAATCTGTTTCCTAGTTTAACTAGGACTGGATACAGATGCAGAACTTTTTAATCTCTATTGTTTAATGAATTGAAAGTTGTACTGAAATGATAGATTACAGGAGATTGAGTGTGTGTTGGCTATGTTAGTTTATTTTCAAACTCCTGTTGTCCTAAGTAATAAACTTACATGGGTTTTCTGGTGTGCAGTTATTATCTTTTAATGTTTTGTCTTGAGAGAGAGTCTGGTGCCATGTGGTGTTAACCTCCTTGTGTCAGTGTCAAACTGGAATGTTAACATAAGAAAAAAGAAAGTATTCATGTGATACATCAGTGGAATAATAAACTAAACTGTGATATAGAAGCATCTCAAAGTGAAATTTTGCTGAGGAGCATACTGTGGAAAAAGAAGTCTTTTCCCTTTATCCCTTGGAGTTACAAAGTAGAATTTGGCTCCTTGCCTTAAAGTACAGATTTGCTTTGAAACAGGGGTGCACTCACTAATGAACAGCAGACATGTTTCAGTGTTGGTTTTGAGAGCTCACATTTTATTTATTAAAAAGGAACATATGAAAGTTGAAAAGTCAAAAATTAAACACTTAAATATTAGGAAATGCCAGAATTAACTGTGCAAATTTACTTCCCCTCCAACTTTCTGTATGATGTCAATGTCTTTAGCAACTGCACTTTTTTTTTTAAATCCACAGGATTTGTACATTCAGTGTACAAGTGACAAACATGATTGGGACCAAATCAGGTTTATATTGTAATGGATCTTGTTTTGTTCCAGCATTTAGAGGATATGGGAACTACTAGAGTAGAGTGTTGTGAGGAGGGAGATGATGGTGAAGATAGTTAAGTGTGTCTCAAGAGAGCTGGAACATGTCCCTGCCATGCACAAAGGTCAGTTAAAATATGAAGCAGTTGCTTGCTGAGCACTTGGATCTCGTGCACTGCTGTGGAGCTGTACTGTACTATAATGTTAATGTACTATGAATGATAAGTAAAGTGAAATTGCCCTAGTGACTTTCATTCTGGCTTTTCTTAATTTTTGAGTACTTGATTTTACAACCTTAATAGTGTTTCTGTATCCTTTCTGCATTCAAATTGGATGTCTCCCTTCTCTGCATTGCGTGGGTGCCAGCAGTAGAATCACTGAGAGCGTAGGAGAGGCTGACTTTCTCCTCTTGTGTCAAGTGACCAGCCCCTGCCCTGGAGCAGCAGTCACAGGGGAAATCCTGACTGCTCACAGCCCTGAAGTGGAATGAGCACGTGCAGTTGGGTCAGCACTAGGAGCTGTGAGGGGATGCAGTATGCTTGGTCATTCTGTGAGGGTGGCACACATGCAGCCCAGTCACACATAGAAACTGGTTAGAAGTCTGGGTAGCAGTCTGGATGCAGAATCTACAGAGATTGTAGCTGCCAGAATCAAAGAAATCTCTGCCAAGCATGTACAAACTGTTATTTTTGGTGGATTTATCACTTGGGCAATATTGGTCAAGAGTAGAAGGTGGGCAACGTCTAGTCTCCAGAAAAAATGTCACCCTTCTTCCAAAACTTTGCTTCATTTTTTTTATTTCCCCCAGCCTTAACTTCACTTGCAGAAATGACTGGATAATTTTGGGTGACACTTACCCAAGCAATTCAGCCTGTGTCAAATACCCAGCATGAAATTTTCTGTTCAAAGTGGTTTAATTTTTTTAAAGTGAAAAAGAAGATGGTTTGTTTTTCTCAAAACAGAAGTGTAAAGATACAGTAAGTTGCAGTGCTAGCAGTCTTACATTAAAATCAGCAGTGGTCATGATACGTGTCCTGTAATTATCCTACTACTTGCGTGTTTCTCAGTAGTGCATCTGTTAAAATACTGCTCTTATGAAACCTTTTGAGCAGCTTCATACTTGAATACATATCATTGAATTACTGAACCTGAAACTTCCCCTTCTGTTATCTGAACTGGTGGATGGAATAGATACTAATAGGTTGCCTGTCTTCAGGTTTTGTATTCCACAGTTCCCAATCAAGAAATTGACGTTTTCTATAATTCTATTTCAAATGGAATTTTTGTCTGTCATTCCATGATCCCAGATTTAATACTGTTTTTAATGTCAAGATATGTAAGAGAAAATACTTAAAATAACTTCATAGAGATGAAAGAAAATGCACTAACTATATTATTCCTGCTTGTACAGTTGCACTTTCATTTCTTCAGTATTTCATCACCAGTGAGAAGGCAGCCTTTCAGGGGGTCAGTGACTTAACTGAAAGTAATTCCTAAATTATTTCTGTACAACTTCTGCCGTATAGTGGACTCTGTTTTGTTGTGCAGCAGTCTGTCTTTGAAAGCCATACAGTCATCTTTATTCAAGCTGGCAAAACATAAACAATGCTATGACATACAATGTGAAGAACTTTTACTATTTCTTGCATTTCAGTGGATTCCTTTAATTTCTCTCCATAGGTAAAAGTAGAGAACCTAAAAGTAGTCCAGCTTCAATGGAGAACAACAGAGAAGAGGTAGGAATAAAAATGCTTTTGAAGTTTAGTTGCATGAGTAGTGCAGAATGGCTGCACTAGTGTAGGAAATGCTGAGTTCACTTTGTTGCTTTTACAATAAATACTTAAAGAATATTGTCAGAACCATGCGGTAAATGTCATCGTATCTGCTGAGTAGAAACATTAGCTGTAACGTATTTTAAAATGAATTTAAAATAAAATTTTAAATTTTGAATGATACTCACTTTGATTCAACCACATGCAAGCAATCCTGTTTCTCCCCTGCCCCCCTCTTTATTTCTAAATTATTGAAATACACAAATTTACTTGGACAACTTTGTTGTCTTTCTGATGCACAATAATTTCTGGGAAAAATGTCTCTAACACAGTTTAGAATTAGGTTTTACTGAGGTATGCAATTGCATTTCTGTTAAGAAATGCAAAATTGATTCAGGTTGTGTATATTGTAAAGTGAGTTTTTAAAGAAATTCTGTTAATATTTTTTAATCTTTTTTCTGTTCTTTGGCCTATGTGTGAAAAGGCTTTTATTTCTGGTTTAAAACAACTGGTTTTCACCTCGTATTTACTCTTAGACCCTGTTACTCAGATAACAGTAGGTACTTAGCTGTCCTTTTAGGCCAATATGCTTCCTTTTTTTAAAAAAGAGGAAAAAGATGGACATACAGGTCTTTATTAACCATGAGCAAATTTCTTCTATATGGTGTATTATATACATCAAAGATATTTTTCATGTGGTGTGTCTTACTAACACCTGCTGTCCTGTTGGAAATGTGCTGGTTGACAATATGTTAATATGTAGAGAAAGCACAAGTGCCAGTGTCCTGCCTTAGTTTGCCTTTATTGCAGTAAATTCAGGTATTTATTTGGTACTGCCCAAATCTAGTGTGTGCACAGAGCTTTGAATAATTAGTTTTCCTGTAAAGACAGCCAGCCCTTTCTGGCATATGAGCCAGATAACGAGTGTCTGCGTTCTGCTGGCAGTTCTTGGGGACACACTAGTGATAGCTCCCTAGTGCCAGCCTTTAAGAACGCTCCGTATCTGTATGTTAAAAAAGATGTTGTTTTCCTTACATAGGGTGAAAAAGATTCATAGGCCTCTGTAAGCTGTTGCAGCACTAAATACTGTGAGGAATCCCAGTGACTTGTAGAGAAAGCGAAAATGCGCAGCGATGTGGAGGAGGTGGCTCTGTGTGAGTTTGGCCATTCTTCTCTGTGCTAATCATGCAAGTTAGCACTGCAGTGAAGGTAGAGAGTAGGAGGCCCCAGATCTGCGCATGGTTAGGACCAGCCAGTGGTCATGAGCAGTTCTCAGTCCCTTCTCTAGAAAGCTGAGAGAACTTTAAGCAGGTAGTGCAAGTTGAGCATTGCAAGGAGAGAACGTCCTCAATTTCATGAAGACTCAGTGCTTGAGATACGTGCAGTGTTTCTCTCTGAGTGTCTCGACTTACAACAGTGTCCTCTCTTAATTTCTTTCAAGATATATGCATAGGGAGGTTAGTAAGCATTAGTGCCTTAGCTTAGAGTATGGCAACACCTGTATTTAAGTCTATTTTTAAAAGAATAATGACTTCTTGGAGTCTACTACTGATCTGAAACTCCACAGATTTAGTTTAACTGAACTGGCATGACGATTGAAATTGTGTATCACTTCTTATTAATGTGTTTCCTGCCCTTTTTTTTTTCCTTTTTTTTTTTTTTCTTCTATAAGAGTGCTGATGAATTCTGAGATGTATTCTAGTTAATGTAAGAACTGGCTTTTGTTGACAGCTCACTTGGTCACAAATGTGTTGACTTTTAAATTTTTTTCTTGTTTTTAGGGAAGTAGTTCTTCGGAAAGAACCAAATCCTTAGGATCATCACGTTCTAAAAGGTTGGTTTGGAAAATAAAAATAAATACATAATTTTTTTGGCATGTGAAACTGTAAAAAAGTCCATGCACTTTGCCAGATACATTTATTATACACCAGTATAAATCCATTAAGTTGGCAGAGTGCTGGTAAAACAAATGGCTTATTATAGTGCACTTAAAATTAGTTCAAGGGCAAAGGTTAAGATCATAAAGCTTGATTTTTGTTAACAAAGACAACAAGATTATCCTGTATCTTCAGGACATGGGTGTTAATACAACTGTTCCTTCTCTATTGCTATTTCTACATGCAGGAATCTTCCAAAAATGTAAGTTGGGTCATATGGAAAAAAGGCTTTATGTACCTTACTGTTAGGAGCCTGTAGAATCAAAATGTGCTATTAAGTTGTCCTGTGCAGAAACTGCCATTTGCTGTATCTCTGCTTAATCCTTTTTTGCTCTTTGATTTAAAAAAGTAGAGTGTTAACTCTTTACCAACCAGTTTGAACCTACAGGATCCAAATTAACTGTGACCTAAGTAACAAAAGACTTACTCTAGTAAAACTCCTTATCTTTTGCTCTCAGCTAATGCTCATTCTAGTTATATCCTTCACGATTTCCTAGTACACTGTATAGGTAGGTGAGCTCTTCTAAATGCACAATTCCAACAGCTGTCGTCTTACTGCTTTTTAATAGCATTGTATATCTGTTTTCACTCTCGTTTTTATACAGGTTTATTTTATCATGTCTGCTGAAATTATGTAATATTCTTCTTTCTCCCTTTTCCATTTGTCTTGATTCTGTATTTGCAAGTGTGGTTTTATATTTGAATTTAATTTCGCTCCT